TGCCAGGGTCTGTAGATGTCCACTTTCAAGGTGTATACTATTTTCCCATTAGGGCCGTGGAAAGTGGAGGGGAAATCTCTGCATGGAAAAAGAGAGAATTTAAAAAAAATCCCCAAATTCTAATGATGTGATGTAATCTGAAAACAAAACAACCAGCATGGTAGGAAACATGTATGTGGCATGTTGTTGCTCCTTGAAGGTCAACACTGATCTGTCTCACCAGGTGTCTCAGTGACAGACAGGAACAATAAAAATCACAGCCAGAGAGGAAGCTGCTCACACTCACCCATGTGGGAGTTGACATGCAAACGGATACACATGGGTGCCGGGGGACAGTTTGATTGTCCCACGGTTTGCTGCAAGGAAAAAAAAAGAAACTCAGTAAACTTTCTAGTGGACAATGACCAAACTGTTTGCGCCCTAACAAGTGCATACCGCCGTTTTCCTGCAAAATGACGCCTTTGTAATTGAAGTATTCCACTTTAGCCGAGTAGACTCTTCTGTATCTCCTTCGCTTTCTTCCTCCTCCTCCTCCTCCGGTGGACCAGTGGACATGTGCCACTCCTGACAGCGCCACCGTAATTGAGGTGATCTTCGTTTGTTTTGTGAGCTCGAAGGAGACGTGTCCTGCAACCTGGTCCCCGCTGGAGACAGTGTTCCTCTCATTGAGCCTGTTAATACTGACGCGTAAATTCTGGATCGACGCGCCGAACATCGCTGAGAGGGAGTTTGGAGGAAAGAACGAGGAAATCAGACGTGTGGAAGATAAGTTGTACAGGAGCAACACTTCAGATATTCGCAATCACATAGTCCGTGCAAAGTAGTGAAAGCACCTAAAGTTTACAACAACAAAGCGCAATAAACAAGCTGCAGAGGCGCACGACGTTTGCGCAGAGCCTCCCAAACTCATCCTGGGACCAGCCCTGATGGGAGGAGCCACTGCTTAATAACAAGTCAAGCCCTGAGATCAAGTCCAGCCGGATCCTAGACTTGAACATACTGTAACATACTGTTCCTATTTTATGCTAATTTTGACCAGGACCATGCTGAGAAGAATCCCTGTCCCTCATAGTAAGCGTCCCTACCAAATGTTAAACTACAGATCTGTTTAGAATGTCTAAATAGCCTATGTCACATAAATAAATGTAAATAAAGAATACACATAAAACATGGCCTGGACATTTTTTACAGTTTAAAGATTCCCTAAAACCACAATTTTCCTTGATTTGACCCACACTGGTCTATCTAAAATCCATCTCAATGGATACGGGTCACATTTGACCCAAAACAGTCTCAGTGTACAAACATTTGTAGCACCTGTACAAAAGTATAACATTTTAAAATCTTTGTATTTTTGTGTATTTTGGGTCACTGGTATGAAAAGTCATCAAATTTCAGGCTAAAAAAATGACGTTTCAGAGATTTTTACTGCTGTCAAATGTCAAAAAGGGTCAAATTTAACCCAAAACAACACAGCTGAAACCAGAAGTTTACATACACTGTATAAAAAGACATATAACCATTTTTTTTCTCACTATCTGACATTAAATCTGACTAAACTTTTACTGTTTTATGTCAGTTCGAATTACCAAAATTATTTGTATTTGCTTAATGCAAGAATAATGAGAGAGAAAAATCTTTAGAGAATTTTTTATTACATTCTTCAAAACCAGAAGTTTACATATACATACTATGCCTTTTAACTATTTGGGAAAGCCTTGTAATAAGAAAAAATGTGTCTCTCATAATTTCAAAAATTGTAGTTTAAAGCTCGTGAAAATCTGAAATCCAGTACCTCAGATTATTAGAATATTTCATTTAGAGTTTGAGTAAATTACTATTCAAACCACAATAAATACATCTGCATCTGTCTGTTCAGTGCTCGCAACAGTAATCATGGAGAAGGAAGCTGACTTTCAAATGTTTTCCAGATCTGAGAGGAGTTTAGGCCACAGAAGGTCATTGATGAAAAGGCTGGCTGTTGGCAGAGTGCTGTATCGAAGCATGTTAATGGAAAGTTGACTGGAAGGGAAAAGTGAGGAAGGAAAAGGATGAACAAGCAACAGAGAGGACTGCAGCCTTGAGAGGACTGTCAAGAAGCAGTTGTCAGCCGGGTTATGAGTAGCTCCTATTAGTTGCACCGTGCAAAGCTAAGATAACGCCCTGAATCAGTGTTGAAGCACAGGCTAACTTTGTTCCTTGTTCTGGGTTAGTTCTGCAGGTTTTGTTAGGTCAAACCCTGTTTTCTGTTGTGCTTAGTTTTCAGTTTGTGCCACATTTTGTGTGACATGACCTCTGACCCAGTTAGATGACACCAGCCCCCAGAAACCTAAGCTGGGCTTCGACCTACTCACTCTGAGCAGTTAAACTCCGGCCTTGTGCTCCAGAGATCCTGTGTTTAGCTTGCTTATGTTGCATTCAGTTCCAGTGTTTGTTGCCTCGCTGGTGCTGGTGCTGTGCTCCTCATAAACTTGTGTTAGACCCGATTCTTTAGTTGGAAGCCCAAGAACAAGTCGGAGAAAATCAGTTCTCAGATGTAGAATTTATTTTAGGTCACAGGTGAAGTTTTGCAGCGCTGGATTCAGAAGGACAGAGAGGAATCACATGTCCAGCTGAACTGAGTTTTTTCGGCTCCAGGTTCCAGATATCTTCTTGGGCTGGGCCTGCCCCGAACATAGATGAGACTTGTACACTACCGAGTTTAATTGGTCAGTTACCAATGGCGTGGACAGGCATACGTCTTCTGCGCTCTGTCCACGTCCTTGATATTTGGTAAGCAACATGAGGATGTTGTTGGTGCGGCGTGTAGCTAAAGTAACAATCGTATCTGATAGAAAAGATGAGTTTCCGCCATCTCCAAGTGTGTGAACCGGTTCTCACCGGCCATATTATCTTCAAGGACGGACACTGTGCTGTGTAGGAAAATACAAAACAGAATCATGGGCTCAGTGCAAAACAAAGATTCAGAATACACAATAGCTCGAGACATACTTAATTATAACACTTGAATGAAATATTTGATTTAAAAACTTTTGATTTTGGTTGTCAATTTCAATTAAAATATCAAACTTCATCATTTAAACAATTTGGACTTATTTAAACTTAAACTGCGTAGAGCTGTAAGGTTTAGACGGACATTACACATAATTACACAGAAAAGTAACACACTTACAGACTCCGTAAGGTCTTGTTGCTTTAGAAAAGCAGACTGCTACCAAAGTTTAGCTCATACATCTGCTGGTTTCTTCAGGCTTAAGTTATTAACAAGAAACTGCAAACTGGCAGCAATGTTAAATTACAAACCGACATTAATACTATAATGATTTTTTGCCATGTCGCCCAGCTCTCATTACGATGTAGCAGCAACAATGCAGGCACACCCACACATGGGAGCACTGCAAGGAAATGATGTTAAAGTCTTTGCTGCACCAGAGTTAGTCATTCTCAGCAGTTCGCTACTTTTATTTACTTTTGTATGCATCTGGAAAAAGTACCAAGGTCCAGACAGCGGGGACCTCAATGGTGCCCATGCCACCGCCCCACGCTGCATTTCGATCAGTTTATTAATTTGTTTTTGTTAGGCTAGGCAGTTAGTTTATACAAATGAAGCACTATGAATTGACTATTTGTTTAGTTAGATAGTTTCTCTCATTATTTTGTGACTGGAATATTTTTTTGTATTTTTCTTTATAACATTCACAGCCATCTCAAGGCCTCCTTGGCAGCTCTCTGTGGCCCCCTAGTGGGCTTTGCCCCCCCTGTTGAGAACCACTGTTCTATTGGGTTGAGATCTGGTGACTGTCAAGGCCATAAAATATCATTCACATGATCACCAGACTATTCAGTGAGCCCTCTTGCTCTATGGATGTGGGCACTATAGAATAGAATAAATTTATTTGTCGTTCATGTCCATTAAAATTGGATGCAAACCTTTTTAACAGTGCATCAAGAGGTAAATAAATAAAAGTGCTTCGAAACTAACTATAAAAAGATTATTTAAAAAGTGAAGGAAAGATTCCAAAAATGAAAAGAAAAACACAACGTACCACGCATACAAGACATTTGAAGTTTTGGCAGTGTTAAGTACAGCTCTGGCTTTTTGGTAAGAACTGTTTTTCAGTCTGTTAGTCTGATTTTTTTTCGTCTGAAGTGTGTCCAGGGTGAGATGGGTCTTTCAGCATGCTCTGGGCCTCATTGAGGCAGCAGGAACTGTACAGTCCTTCCAGGGAGGGGAGAGGGCAGCAGATAATCTTCTGGGCGGTGGTGACGACCTTGTGGAAGGCCTTCCTCTTTCCTTTAGCACTGTGACGGAAGAGATCACTCACAAGGGATAGAAATGTTTTGTGACAGGATAAAGGTGATAACTCAGAACAACTTTGTGTGGATTTACAGTGGCTCTTCCCTCTGATGGGACGAATGGAACCAAACCATGCCAGCGAAACGCCTCCCACAGCCTATCAGAGCCACCATATCACCTCACTGCGGGTGTCAAAATTCAGCTTTTTCCTCTAATTTGTCACCTGCCTGTAATTTATTCAAGTTTGTCTTCTAAATGTATTCCAATGACAAACTGGTGACTTTGGCATTTTCTGCAAGAGTATGTAACAGCTTGAGAGCCTGAAGGCAGTAAATCTCATGACGTGAGTGAACATGTTTCACGCGTTTCTCTCTGCAGTGATAAAAATGAATCGTGACACTGTGGCCTGAGGGTCGTGCTTAACTACACCGAACTATGTACCCAAGAAAAATGTGTAAAATGTGATCAGATTGCATGCTACAAGAGAGAACACACAAATAGCATCAAAGTTGTTGAAAGACTTGCATAGCATAGTTCCATGCCACATGGGTGAATCTCTAAAATGTTAATAAAACTTTAGTTCTTCCCTAAAGTCCTGATTGTCTAGACAGTGAATTTCCAAAGCAGCTATTATGCTAAGATTGCGCTCAAAAGATATTACTGGGTTATTCAGTCTCAAATCCTCGGGGGCCTTCTACTCAACCATCTCTGTTTCACTTGAAACGTTCTTTGAAATTTTAGCTTGATACATCCTGTACTTTCCAAGACAAACTCAACAAAATAAATTCTGACCCCGCTTTGACTGGAGAAACCGAGTGAGAGAGTGAACTGATGCCATACCTATTCTTCTTACTGAACACATGTGCTTATTGGGAGAGATACTTGAAGGGAGACTGTTATGCAGCTACTGTAAATATAAACTTACTGACACTTGAAGGCCAAGTTTGTTCCCAGTGGAAAACAAAGCAAGAGAATCCATCTTGATCCTATCAAACTGTTTCCACTTTGATCATGAGAATAGATTTACCGCTAAAGTCTTGCACAAATATATCAGCTCATCATTAAATATATGTCAAGGCATGAAGGTTTCCCACTGAAAACCCCCCTATCTCAAAGATCTATGTATTTGGTCATGGTTATACTACGCTGATGTCTTCCTAACAACCGAGTTCATCAGATTACCATTAAATATATGTCAAGGAACGAAAATTTCCCTCTAACAAGATCGATGTAGTTGGTCACTGTTATGCTCATCGTCCTGATGACCTAATGCAGTGTTAATTTCCAGAGTTAAATTATGCAAAACTGCATGACAAGTTTCCTCCAAACCAAAGTTTATTCCTACAATGTGGGGTTCAAAAAATAAAAATATGCCAATATTAAAAATAATGTTTTCACCATTTTGAAACCCCACAATTGTTTAGTTTTTGTGGTGAAACTTGTCATTCCGGGCTG